AGGTCATAGTGACCTTGACCTTTTACCTTGTGACCCCAAAATCAATAGGGGTCTTCTACTTAATATGGACAATCATCCTATGAAGTTTGAACACTGTGGGGCCAAATGGAAACTTAAGTTATGCTCCGGAAACTGTTTTTTTCAGTTTTAAGGTCATAGTGACTTTGACCTTGTGACCCCAAAATCAATAGGGGTCTTCTACCCAATATGGACAATCATCCTATGAAGTTTGAACACTGTGGGCCAAATGGAACTTAAGTTATGCTCCGGAAACTGTTTTCAGTTTTAAGGTCATAGTGACCTTGACCTTTGACCTTGTGACCCCAAAATCAATAGGGGTCTTCTACCCAATATGGACAATCATCCTATGAAGTTTGAACACTGTGGGCTAAATGGAACTTAAGTTATGCTCCAGAAACTGTTTTCAGTTTTAAGGTCATAGTGACTTTGACCTTGTGACCCCAAAATCAATAGGGGGTCTTCTACCCAATATGGACAATCATCCTATGAAGTTTGAACACTAAGGGCCAAATGGAACTTAAGTTTATGCTCCGGAAACTGGTTTCAGTTTTAAGGTCATAGTGACCTTGACCTTTTACCTTGTGACCCCAAAAATCAATAGGGGCCTACTACCCAAAATGGACACTCATCCTTTGAAGTTTTGAACACTGTAGGCCAAATGGAACTTAAATTTGTTCATTCCAAACTGTAAACAAACAATATGAGGTATGGTACATGTTATGGTCAACCAAGTTGGATCTCATTGGAGCTAGGTGGAGAGGAGTGTGGGAATCCAAAGATTAGTAAATCATGTTTGCTTACTGAGTTCATCAGAAAGTATTTAAGCACTAAGTTTGAAATTTTATATGGCATATAATGCCACTTTATGTGTGTTTTAAATATGCTATATATCAAAATTAAAATACTCAGTAAATCTTTTTTTTTTTTGTTAAACTATAAACTTAAAGAATTAATAAATTTCTTTTATATAATCTATGAATTCAGTTTAAAGTACCTTTTTTGGTTTGACTTTTTATCACAGTCTGTGCTTTTTTGTGATACCATACTATTGTTTCACGGCACCTTTACTCCAAGTAAGCCAAATGAAGTAATTGAAGACCAGGACCTTGAGTTGTAGTACTTCCCTTTCTGAGTGGGGGATTCTGAACATCACTGTCTGTCCTGTCCACCATGTCTATATATCGGATTTGTCTTGGTACAGACAACCCTGTCTCATGGTCTGCAAGGTCCCTGCATGTATGGCCAGCTGGGACTGTTTAATGTCACCGAGGAGAACTCCATATAGTTTTTTTTGACAATCAATAAATATTTTACAATCCAATAGGAAAAAAAAAAGATTCATGTAGTATCTTTTTTAGCTAAATCCCTTTTTAAGCTATCATCATCGTGTACAATTAAAACTTAATGGTAAGGAGTTAATTAAGGGCTTCTCCCCCAATACAAAAAAGGTCAAATTAAGAAGTAGTACTGTTACAATGCCTTATCAAAAATAAAGTCACATGCATATATAGACAATAACTAAATATTTAACAATATTGATTTAATACAAATAAATCATTAATATATGCAGTCCGGGGGGGGAGGCCAATAATGAGCTGAAAAATATTTATCAATATCAAAGAGTGAGAAAATGAAATGCAGCCTGACTAAAAACTCTCAAACCAGGAGACAACCTATAGAGAATACCATACCTCAGCACTACCAAAAAAACCCAGAACCCTTGGGTAATATACCATTACAGCAGCTCTAACAGCTCTTAAATATTTTCAGTCTCATAGTTCTATGCATTGACATAATCCACAGCATATTGAAATTTTTTCCTTTTTCATTGCCGCCACACTTTAAGTAACCCCAAAGTGAATTGACTTATGACTCAGTTATGTTTACCATCATAAACATATATTGGACCCTAAAAGTAACAGGGTGAAAATATCACAGGGTGAGAAAAATTGTGGCAGTTTTGACCGGAATCAAACCTGAATCAGAATATTATACATGTATGTGGGCTGTACTGACTCACTCAGCTGAGCTATCTAGCTGGCAATGTCAATAATCTATTACACATGGGCATAGAAGTCAAAGAAACATTCATTTGATAATGATCCCCATTATTTAAAGTAAATAATATCAGAAAACATCCCTTGAAAATGATATCATTTCATTTTTGACCCACAGTTATTACCACTACTTCCTAATGGGGCCTAAGTAAACTGTCCTTGAGCCTGCAGAATTTTATAATTTTGCTGTCTGTCAGACATGGCAATTTCTTATGGGTTTTCATCTTTATCTCCATTTGAAGGGATGCTAACTCATGTTTTACTAAATAGTTTTGTTCTTATCTGTCTATCTTAGCCATTACAGACTATTCTAGCTGTATATAAACATAAAAAAATCTTTTATATTAACAACAAAACATAAGAGATGGAAAAAATTTACCAAGTTGGAGAATTTCATCAAATGGATGGAGGTCGCAGGAATGAAATGAATATGGAATAGAAATGATTTTTTTGACTGGCTTTATGTACTTCTAGTTATCATTGTGGCCCAAGGATTTTATAATTATTCATGTTTAAAACCTGGTTTTTCAAGTTAATATTTCATCATAAAAAAGATCTTCCAGGACTCTAAATAAATTCATATTTTGGTATCAGGGGGAAATTAAAATTGGCCTATTTGTGCTTTAAATCTGGATCAATAAACATCCCTTAAATAAATTTTAGAATGTACCTGTGTTTGAGTTTGTCATATTTCACTCTTTCACTTTTGGTTTATCCCCAGGTCAACCCTTTTTTTTAACTAATGGCTTTAATTTAACTGCCCCATGCAATCATTAAGCTCATATATGGCTTAATAATTTTACCTTATTATATATATATCAATAGGTCTAAGGAGTTATGTAAAAATTGTTAAGGGTGGCTCCCAGCCTGACTGAATGATTTGATTGTAAATAACATATTTCAAAAATATATATCTGGACTCAACATGCTTTCAAAACTCTGTAAGAAAAAACTGTCAAATGATGAATAATTATCTGGGATTTGTTACACCAAAATCTGTGTGATTCTAGCACTTCATTTTTTCTAGGATTGCAATAGCTTTCTATTTTTGGTCAAATAATTTTTTTCACTTTCAGTTTATGTTCTTTGCATTTTGCCCATGTTAATTTTGATAACTTTAGGTCCAGCCAACAGTGTAATAGGATATTTACTTGTATCCCTTTTCATCTTTCTCAGCATTTCCATGGCCAGTCAAACTTGGTAAAGTAAATTTTCCATTGGCGCTTTCCCATTTGATAAAGTTAATGTGATAATGTTTACCATTTTCAACATCTAAATGTCCAGGGGGTCTTGTAAACTATCCTTGCCATGATTTGTCCAGTTCGAAATAAATACCGAGATTTACGAAGGCTAAATTTCGGAATTTTATCGAGTACAAAATCCTTTAGTTCGAATTTAATAATTGAGTTCCTACGCAAATACCCTTCCCCCGTCCCCGAAAATGGCTTTTTTGGACGATATTTTCACTAAAGTGGCAAGAAATACTTCACACCTGAGGTGTGAAACAAAATAATTGCATTACTCCTCCGATCCACCACCGTTGATTGGGTTCAAACTTTATATGCCAAATTATATGACAATTACGTCAGAACGTAAAACTTTAATCCATTCACATTAACCAGACCCGCTTACAAATGTTACATAACACTAAATAAGACATATATATCTTGTATATGCCGTTTTCCTAAAACAGTTTTGAAATAGAAAAAGTATGCAAGTCTAATATTTTAAAAGTAAATAAAGTTTATTTTGTTTTATTTCATAATTAATTTTGGGTGTTTGGACATATTTTTATACAAAGTCTGTCGTAATTCATTCATTTCTTGCATACGCGCATGCGTTGGATTCGAAGTTTGAAGCGTAGGGTTTACACAATGCTTTTATGAATGAAATAGAAATTTTCAATATTTTTTGCTTTCATGTTTCGAAAAATGTTTTATTTGAACTGAAAGTGCATAGTTTTGAACTTTCAAAGCTTATTGACCACTCTGAAAACAGTATATTAATAAAAAAGTGATCTTAATGTGACAATCCTGCAAAATGAGGATCTACTTTTATCGAGGTTTCATCCAAAGGTGGATGTTGTTCAGCAAAACACGTTAGGTGTACTAAATCTGAAATACAGCTATAACTCTGTATACATTGCAAGCAATGTATACAAAAATAGACTCTACCGTAATACAGATAAATTAAGCTATCACACAGCCACAGAAGGTTCTTAATGTACCATAATACAGATAAATTAGACTCTCATAATGTAACATTAAAACCCAAATACCCTTTAAACCCTAAAGTAAAAAAACAACCCGTATTTTTGGGGCCCTTTTTTGCTTAAAACCCCCTGGGAAAAAGGGCATTAATTTTTTCACCTAATACCCCCAAGCCCCCGTTATATAAAAAACATAAGGGATAAAAAAGCTCCCTTTTGGGCCCCCTAATCCTAAATACCCAAATTTTTACAATAAAAAAAGGCCAAAATTTTGAACCCCTGTAAAAAAAAACATGAAATTTTGAAATTTAAAAAATGATCCCCAGACAGTTTTCCCGGGAAATGAAAAAAAAAAAGAAAAAAGAGCTGTGAAATGATAAGTGATTTTTTTGCCCCTGAAAAAAGCTTTGACATAAAAAACCCCAAATTTGCCCCCAAAAATTCAATGACCCGAACCAGACCCTTCCTGCTTTAAATTTTCAACATGTTCACAAGGGGTTAGCTCCTAGCAGGCCAATTATAAGACTTTTCCCGCCCCAAATTTAGGTAAAAAAATTCTAAACTGTTTTAAAAATTTAGACATTTGGCCCCCGTTAAAAGTAATAAATTTTAAATTTTTTTTCCCTTTTTATTTTCCCCAAACTTTAAATCTTATGAAAATTTTCCACAAAATTTAAAAAAAACAAACCCCAAAGTTTAAAAGTCCCATAAATTTAAAACGTTTCGTAAAAACTGACGATTTTTATCATCACCCCCATCAGCTCCTTTTTTTTAAAGCATTTGCGTAAGCCCCTGTTGGGGAGATTAGCACTGTACATCTGGTTACTACACAAATTCATATTCTTTGTATACAGATTACATCTGAAATCTGTTCTTCTATTTACATCCTGTAAATAAAAACCAGGTAATGCATCCTTCACTGAGTAAAATTTCAGCATTAAGTATAAATTAATCAAGTATTTTCATATTCCAATCCCTAGCTATAGCCCTTATCCTTTAAAATTTTAAATAAACTTTATTTTTTTAGTTCCGCCAATTGTTTTCTCGTTTAGAGATACACGCTTTCTATTACTTGGGGACCATACACCGCTTTTCATGGAATGGCACAAAAGTGTCACATTGAAGGTTCTATGATAACTGCCGTCACATAATGAATTCCCATTTCATGTTTAAATGTTGAACTCTGCTTAAGCCGGTGCTAGGGGGCGTGGACGGTAGTTTGCATTTGACAGTACCGTCAATGAACAGCTAGGCTCAATCAAAGCAAGCCTGCAACATTTTCAACTTTGCCGTTTTGTGTTTTCTTTAGGGATTCTTATTTTCTCAATTTTGTCCAGCTCCTACTTTTGAAAGTGTTTGTTTATCAATTTTGGAATATTTAAGTCAGCCATCAGAGGTGCAGGCTGACCTGGCCAAACTCTATACTGCTAAATATAATGGTGAAACACATTTAAATAATAGACATCTGTTTGAAAGTATTAAGGTCAAATCTGTCGCACTTATTTAAGGTAAATATACCAAAATACAGGGAAGATTAATTGATCTATATCAATCAAATTATAGAAGAATAATGTTTAAACATTTGAGCCGCGTCACGACAAAACCAACATAATGGGTTTCCGACTCAGACCAGCCTGCACATCCACGCAGTCTGATCAGGATCCATGCTGTTCGCTGACCAACCCTATTACAAGTAGAGAAACTGATAGCGAACAGCATGGATCCTGATCACACTGCGCGGATGCGCAGGCTGGTCTGGATCCATGCTGGTCGCAAACCTATTATGTTGGTTTTTTCGTGACGCGGCTCATTTTTATTTACATCTTGCACAATGGCTTCTCTTAGTTCTCTTCTTAAGTCCTCTGAATCATTTTTGAAAGCAAGGTGTTCTTCTAATTGTGCGCTCCCTTTGGCTCCTCTTTTCATCATCTTTTGTACACAACGCCTGTCAATACACACGTACAATTTTAGTTTCACGAAGGGTTAGGAAATTACCTATTTCTTAATACAGATTTATAATATGAGCCGCGTCACGACAAAACCAACATAATGGGTTTGCGACCAGCATTGATCCAGACCAGCCTGCGCATCCGCGCAGTCTGATCAGGATCCATGCTGTTTGCTTACAAACTCTAAAACAAGTAGAGAAACTGATAGCAAACAGCATGGATCCTGATCAGACTGTGCAGGCTGGTCTGGATCCATGCTGGTCGCAAACGCATTACGTTGGTTTTTTCATGGCGGTGCTCAATTATTATATATTTCAATTAAACAATCATGCAAGCAACTCAATAGCAGGTTGGTCTTTCAGCATGAGTTGCCTTCAGTAGGATTTTGACAGTTTATATTTGACAGAGAGTAAATATTTGCAATTCCAAAACTTTCTACAATATTTTGATTATAAATGGTTACTGTAATTTCGATCAAAATGTTATCAAAGCAATCATAATAATTTTATACATGATTGCACAAAGTGCATATAACCGAAAAGTTAATTGTTGAGTCTCAGATGATCCACAGAAATTCATAGCTATTCTTTTTCTATTAGCAGATTATATTCTGCCGACTATAATTAAATCAAAGCATAGAAGGCGCTGAATTTGTTTGGGTCTCAGAATGTCAGAAAGGTGAAGGTTGTGAGAATGATTATAAAACAATTTATTTTTTGTATAGTGCCACCAATACTTTCCAGCGTTTTAATTGTAGTAGATTGGCTCTAAGACTAATTGCAACACTGATATTCGATCCAATGTTTATTTGACTTAAACAATTTGAAAAAAAAAATGAGTTGCCTTAACTGGGATTTGAACTCGAGACCTCTCGCTTCCTAAGCGAGCGCGCATACCACTCGCCCACGGTGAATTTACATGTTAATGGCCTGAAGAAAACCACATTATTCTAGTTAGGGTTTGTAACGACGCTAACTGTTGTTTAACACTTGTGTAAATAATCATGGCCTTTCTATAAGCATGTATATCTATAAAGAATAAAACATATGAGAAATCTTCGACTATTCGGGAATTATTTTGCTTGAAAATTAATCCGCCTGTCATGTGACCATATTTACGCAGTGATCTCCCCTAAATTTTTCGGCCTAAGTGTTACATATAAAGGGAAGTAACTGCTTCAAAAAAGCGGACTACTTTCGGCACTTGCAATTAACAGCATTAGAGTCTGAAATTTCGCTTCCATTATTTGTTTGGTCTGACGACCCAAACAAATAAAAACTGGAATATATAATTATGTTCTTCATAATTTCATAATGGCATCAGGTTAAACATATTATTTTCATGTTTTCTTTATTTTTGAAAGTGAAGACATTACACAAACGGATACAATAATGCTCGATTTACACTTACACATATCCTTGTGCCGCTCTTGGATTCCCTTGATTTGCTATTAAAGCAGTTTTCTGAATTGTGGCTACACCTAACACTGCGACATTTATTCCCTGATCAAAACAGAAAATGTAATGTTAAATAGACATTTTAGAAATGAATAATTTAGACACTGTACATAACTTTTTCTTTTAATCTTTCAGCTACTCAATGTGCTTCAGCAATGATAAAATGTAAAAATATTGCCATGAAATAGCCAAATTCAGGTGCACTACATGAAAATTGCGGACTGTTTGATTGAGTTTGTACGTGAGGAATTGAGCGATAATGAAGTGCAACATCCATCACGCCCCTAGCACCGACTTGAATGCTACTCAATTTTCAACATTTAATAGTCTTGGAATCAAGCTAAAAATTCAAACTTAACTTTGTACTGTATTATGGTGTACAAACAGATTATTGTTAAATGGATGAAACAATGCCAAAGTAGTGTGTCTTTTACTGTAATGTGACACAAAGAATACCTGTAACGGTTCATTACTGTGACATACCATTTTTTATCAGAGAGAAAATGTATGGCTAATTTCTTTATCCCGGCGACACAATACATGACTTAATTTGTTAATTGATGGGACCCAATGACTGGATAATAATTGGTTCATCACTAACACAATGAATGGCTTAACTAATGTTTATCACCAGATATAATAAGCAACTAATTTGATTTATCACCAGACATAATGAATGGCTACTTTGGTTTACCACCAGACATATTAAATGGCTTATTTGGTTTATCACCTGACATAATACATGGCTAATTTGCTTTATCACCTAATTTAGCCACAATGAATGGCTACTTTAGTTTATCACCAGACATGAAAAAAATGTTTAATTTGGTTTTATCACCAGACATAATGAATGGCTAATTTGGTTAATCACCAGACATAAGGAATGGCTAATTTGGTTTATCACCAGACATAATGAATGGCTAATTTGCTTTATCACCAGACATAATGGATGGCTACTTTGGTTTACCACCAGACATATTAAATGGCTTATTTGGTTTATCACCTGACATAATACATGGCTAATTTGCTTTATCACCTAATTTAGCCACAATGAATGGCTACTTTGGTTTATCACCAGACATGAAAAAAATGTTTAATTTGGTTTTATCACCAGACATAATGAATGGCTAATTTGGTTAATCACCAGACATAAGGAATGGCTAATTTGGTTTATCACCAGACATAATGAATGGCTAATTTGGTTTATCACCAGACATAATGAATGGCTAATTTGCTTTATCACAAGACATATGAATGGCTAATTTGGTTGATATCACCAGATATAATAAATTGCTAATTTGGTTAATATCACCAGACATAATGAATTACTTAAATCCTGTTTATATTTGGGACAATATGGATACCTATTTGATTTATCACTAGGATACAATGAAATATCTAGAAAAAAGTGATCCCTCGGAAGCATTGAAACAGCAAATTTACATGAAAGTTGATGGCTCCGTTTGATTGAGTCCGAGGGATAATAAAAAGTGTAACATCCCTTACGGCCACTAGTACCAGATTGAGTGGTACTTAATTCTCAACTCTTAAAAGTGCTTGACTCATTGGCCTAAAGGACCAGGAAAATATAACAACACTATGAAGCATAGGGAAACTTTTTAGTTTCAAACTTTTTACGACTGTCACCCAGCACTAATTTGAGGCTAATTTGATTATCACTGTGTGTAACAAAACTACACGTCACTAGCATATATTAATTGTGACTGTGGCACAAAGTATATGGAATAAATCTTATCACTGTGGTACAAGGAATTCCTAATATAGTAAATCACCACAATAAAAGTTTAATATAAACATGATACACTGTATTAATTATTATGATGACAAAAGGTATATCTATTACAATTTATCAGTGACAAAAGTATATCTGATATAATTTATCACTGCAACAAAAGTTATATCTGATACTATTTATTGTTACAAAAAGATTATCTGATATAAATTATCACTAAGACACAATGTAAGTTAAGGAATCACCAAAAGAAACGTGTTATTATATATTACTTCATAAGCATTTAATGGATTAAAGATGATTATTGTCACTCACCTCTTCCATTTGTTTCCTGTCTTGCGTTACCTCATGAGATTTACTTAAAACTCTTAAACATCTCATCCCAGTCTTCAATGTATAACTTATCTGTACCTGAAAAGTTTAGCTACTGCATGATGAAAGTAAATACTTAAATACACTCAAATTACAGGATTGTATTTGTATAAATACTGTGTATTAATTTTTGTCATTTACATGACCTAATATTTATTCAGAGAGAAACAATCGGACCATGTTATGTACAAATGAGCCATGTCATGACAAAACCAACGTAATGCATTTGCGACCAGCATGGATCCAGACCAGCCTGCGCACCCGCGCAGTCTGATCAGGATCCATGCTGTTTGCTTATAAACCCTATAACAAGTAGAGAAACTGATAGCGAACAGCATTGATCCTGATCAGACTGCGAGGATGCTCAAATTGTCTATTACATGCACATGGGTATTAAAGCAGCTACACTAGTTGATATTATTCGTAAAATTGCCAGTTAAATTCTCATTAATATTCACTACAGACATTAATTAATGAATTGTTGCCCTGACTGTCATGTCATCTTCATGTAATCCAAAACGGAAAATTTTATGAAATTTTGACAAGAAATGATGTCAAACTTTACAAAGCTTAAATGAACTCCACTCAGGTTTTGACATGATGGGACTTATGCCTGCAACATTTGCTCAAATTTACTGTTTTGGATATTCTTTAGGGATTCTTATTTTCTCTATTTTATCGCCACATCAGCGTTGTATGTGCCGTGTGGATCGATCAGGCTGAAAAAAGTCGCCCCGTACATTCAATAAGAGATGATATATTTTCGATCCTTAAAGATCGTTGAACACGGCGTTAAGTTGTGTTTGTGGAATTTTCTAATTTCTACTATTTGGCTTTTTTGATTTGGGTGGTTCCAATATTCCTACATAAATAATGTTCAATCACCCTTAAGATATGATGCCTGCTTTTTAACTTTGTCTTTTGACGTTTTATCTGTGTTATACAGGCTTCATAACCTCTGATCCTATTTCAAAATTAAATTTTGTTTAGTTCCTCCCATTGTTTTGCCGTTAAGGGTACACGGTTTCTATAACTTGGGGACCAATTTTACGCCGCTTTTCATGAAATGGCACGGAAATGTCACATTGAAGGTTCCATGATGACCGCCATATGAACACATCTGCAGATTTTCTTAAGTCAAAATTATCCAATTTCATGTTTAGATATTAAATTCTGCTTTAGCTGGTACTAGGAGGCGTGGAAGGTAGTTTGCATTTGACAGTACCGTCCCTGAACAGGCTCAATCAAACCAAGTCTGCAACATTTTCAATTTGGTCGTTTTGGACTTTCTTTAGGGATTATAAATCTTATTTTCTCTATTCTATTGCCACACCAGCATTATTTGTGCCTCGTGGAGGCTGTAAATATCGCCCATACATTAATTAAGAGAATGTAATATTTCCGATCCTTAAAGATCATTCAACACAACATTAAGTTGTGTCTGTGGTATTTTTTAGTTTCTACCTTTTGGCTTTTTCTATTGGGGTAAGTTTGAATATTCCTACATGAATTATGTTCAATCCCAAGGATATGATGCGTGCTTTTTAACTTTGTCTTTTGACGTTTTATCTGTGCCCGTCCCTAGATTTGCCACTAAAATGCCACCCTTTTCAATGGTGGAGTATTTAGACAATTTTCCACCAATAATGCCACCAAAACGCCACCAAAATGCCACCCAAATCATGAAAATGGTGAAAAATTTGAGCAGGACTGATGTTATATAATTTTCCAGTTAATTCCACCTTTTTTACACTAAATGCCACCAATGATTGGAAAATTGGTGGAGTATTTAGACAAACTTTCACCATAATTCCACCATTATGCCACCTTAGGGTGGCAAACTCATTTTCCACTAGATGCCACTTGTTTCCACTTATTGCCACCATAATGGTGGAAAATTGGTGGAGTATTTAGACAAATTTCCACCATTATGCCACCATTGAGTGGCAAACTTATTTTCCACCAAATGCCACTTATTTCCACCTTTTGCCACCATAAGGATGGAAAATTGGTGGAGTATTTAGACACTTTTCCACCATTTTGCCACCAGATAGTGGCAAATTCAGTTTCCACTAAATGCCACCTATTTTCACCCTTTCAGAAATTTTCCACCTTGTGGGTGGCAATAGCTGGAAACTGCTTGAAAGTCACCCTGTACCCTAAATTGGAAACAAACAAATTTTAAAAATAATCCTTTTTAATGTTTTCATATGAAATTATATATTGTCTCAAAAAATAGCAAAACATTAGTCCATTTATTTTCTTCAGTTTATCTTGCTATTCCTGGATGGTTTGAGTTCAGTCCTTTAGGTTGTCGGCAACTTTTCGAGCGCACAATCTAAAACAAAAAAATTATGAATGATTAATACAATAATTAAAAACATAAGCTTACATTTTATATGACTATTGGATATTTCTATATTCAATTTGAGTGCATAGATATGATTAAAACACTTTAAAAAACAGCGCTGCAGACGTGGAAGATTCAGACTTTTCTTATTTACTCCAAGGCAGAAAATATACGCAGAATCAAAAATGATATTTTCATTCAGTTCATTAGTTACCTTCCAAGAACTTAAGTTTTGCCTTGTCTGCACAAGAAGGTCTGGCTTCAGACTCTCTGTTCCCTTTCCTCATACCAAACAATGAGCGGCCTTTAATCTCTTCTATATTGAATAGCATTCTGAAGAGCTTTGCTGTACCTTTCTCTTTTGAGGCATATGGCTTCAGTTCTGCCATCACTTGGTCCTAAAATATGATTAACAATATCAAATAAGTAAAGACAGAAAATGATTATCAATATCTAATATGTAAAGACAGAAAATGAAACACTTTTATAAGACCTTGGTATATGTATACAACTCTAAAATTTTTAAATAAGAAAGAAATAAAGAAATACAACACATCAACACCAGTGCAGGTTGAGTAATTAATAATCTTCCAGTTTCAGTTCTTAAGGAACCTTCATCAGGATAAATATTTGATAAAATTTTCAAGCTAAAATGTACAAAAACTCTAAAATTTGTAAAACAAAATGTAAATGCAAATTAAAGTGTCATAAAGAGTTTGAATTAAAGTAGGTTTGTAAATTGTGACTAATAGCTATATTTATCAAGAACTGAAAAGTGTCTTATTGGGTACAATGACACTTCTGTCCTATTAATTCTAAAATAACTTTGAATTAACAAGATACCTTTGTAAAGCCACTGAAGATCAAATGTGTTGCTCCAGGCTGCTCCTCATTGCTTTGTGTCTGCAAAATAATAATTCTTATTTAATGCTGTTTCTGTTATGAACTGTCATTCTCCTAATAGCATGTTACTCTAGACTGTCTAGTTATGGTTATATAATTATCTACTGCACCATGAAAGCTGAATTACAACAATGAAGGAATGAAACTTACTAATAAATCAGTTACTGTTAATCTGCTCCACATGTGACACACAAGGAAAATTGTTTATAGCATGAAAGTTGTAGTAATAGGTACCTCAGGTTATCTATAGTTTGATTGATGTAATATTGTACATAATGATATTGTACTTACTGATTAATTTCTATAATTTTTTTTCTCAAACTTAAAATTTCTAACATATTGTATTTAAGAAATGATGAAGATCTTCCTACATTCTTTATATTCCTACATTCTTTATATGTATATTGTACATGCAGCTTTCTTTTTAGTCAAGTTACAAACAAAACAAATATAAAACACAATTTTATACAATACCACTTCATATTTTTACTGTCAAAAAACTAAACAGTTTCTGCATAAATAACAATAATTATTGTATGTAAAAGTTGTTTACCTGAAACTTTGACTGGGAATGATTCTGCTGTTTATCTTCTTGTCTACACATTCACACTTCAGTTAAAACTTCTCATTTCTATTTACCAAACTAATAAGACTTTAAATGTTTTCTTTGAGAAATCAAAAATATGCACCCTTACATTTTAAACAAATTATCTCCAGAATTGCTACAATATCAATAATTTCCTTTGTGTTTGCAAGCTTTAACTGACCTCCATTCCTTTGAATTCAAACTTCACAATGGTGTTACTGCATGGACAGTCCATTATAATTTTAAATTGTGAGGGGTTTTCCAAAAACCATAGCACCCATCATTTTATTTTTTACATTCATTTGAATGTATAACTATATCTAATACCTAAATAGATTGAGTAGAAATAAGCTTTTGAAAGATAATTTAGCATGCTATTTTAAGACAAATTCTACATAAAAACATGTATAATGTTGCCTCTCCCAAAATAATCAAATGGAACATTCTGGTCAGCATGAGTAAACTATTAACCCCCATTCATAGATTACTAGATAAGAGGGCAGTAGTTTTATCAGATCTGAGATGTATGCTGTGTTGTTAAATCTTAGAGGATGCAGTATTTACTAGCTAGTATTTACTTATCCTGATTGTAAGAAATTTATCAGACATTATGACTTATTTACTTTTCACACATTGATTTTTACAATAGATATAAAGCCTCTGAAAGCATAGCACAAAAGATGTTAGAGACAATAATTTTAAACTCCACATATAACTAAATCTCATTTATGAGAAGTTACAATGCCAAGGAACCATAACTTTTTATTGCATGATTTGGGGTTTATTGCCATTTTTAACTTCTCTATGCTTAATTTTTGTCTTGATCATTAAGCTTAAAAAGTACTGGAGATATTAATTTGAAACTTCACAGATATAGATCTTTTTGAGTAATGTGCTGTGTTTAAGAACCATAACTCTTTGCATACTTTTGGAGTTATTGCCCTTTGCATTTTTCACTTAAATTATTGTTAGCATTACATGAAAGTGTTAGTACTCACCAGATATCAGTTTAAAGTAATATTGAAGAGACAATTTATTATGTCAATTAGAAGAAAAAGACAAAAGTCAAACTTTATTCAAGATTGACATTAAATATCATAGAAGAAGCAACACACTTTATGCAGAGATATGCATTTTCTGGGCATAGAAGAACATTTCAACTATTCAATTAATGTACAGATTATAACTAAAGAACAAAGT